TTGAGGTCCCTTCCAATGCCTAACGTTCTGTGATTCTGTGATTCTGTGATTCTGTAAATGTGTATTTATAATAATTACTAACTATTTGTGTTTAACAACTGAGCAGGCATCTAAAGACTACCAACAGGTTGGACAGATGTTTAAGTTACACATTAGTGACATCATAGTCAAAAAAGAAAAGCCATAACACATGGCTGACATAAGCAAACAGACAAACTAAGATGGGTTGAGAAGGAACTAGGCAACATGTATGTAAAGTTACTCGTGCCTATATTTATCTGCCCAATGACTGAATGCAGCTCTCAGGTTTTCCTGGACATGGCTGACTTGCTGTTAAACTTGTGTGTTATCACAGAATTGAGTTTCGGAAACGGTCTTAAATGGGAACCAAGTGTTGCCTTACCTTGATTCAGGCTGGGCTCTTTCTCATTTGTGAAAGCAGAGCTGCCCTAAGTGCTTCCCGGAGGCTGCAATCAGAACAGGCTGAGACTACAAGGGGAGAGCAGTGTCACTGTTCGCCAAGGCTTCCTCCCTGCTCTTATTACAAGGTTTTTCCTGGGAGAAGCAGCAGATGAATGAGAATATGGCACACAGCCCAGCCTCCTTCTGACACGCATTTCAAAGGCAGTCAGGGATGAGCATCAGGAGACAATTTTGACACCTGGAACAGTTTGAATACCTTTCACTTGCCTGTGTCCCAGTCGTTTCTGCCTCATCTTTCTCAACATGCTTTTTCTGACTGCCGTTTTCTCTTTCTGAACAGTGAAACAACAGCAACAAGAAGTTGTCAGTGTCTTCAGGCCCACCTCTGGCAAAATGGCCTGGAAAACAACAGCTGTTAAGACAGGAGTGGGAATATAAACAGTGTGTGTGAATGGAGGCCCCAAAACTGCCTGAGAAAACATTAGTCCCAACTGATTATGTAAGAGTGGAAGACAAGCATCAGCCAGATGCAATGACAGTACGTGTGCTTGTAACCTATGCATCCTTCCTATGTGTGTGCATGAGAGTGTGTGGATGTGTGGGAGGGGGGAAACTAGAGCTTTTGGGGATAAGTGGAGGCTGGAGAAGTACAGCTATTAATTAACATTTTGGAAGTGTCTAGTACTCTGGCTTATCTGTTACATTATTGATATGGATCTCAAATGAATAGTTTACTGGTTCCTGGCAAATTCTGTGTTATGAATAAACCACTTTGATCCAGATTCAGTATGCAGTATGTGAACGGAACAGTTTTTCTCTGTGACAGAGCTGCCACTTCAAACCTGCTTCAGAAAGCCACACTCCCAGCTGGCAGCCTCTCACTGTGCTCCTGCCCAGCTCTGGGGCTGAGTGTGAGCAGCAGGTTGGGCACACTGGACTCGGCAGGGACATCATTATGCCCATCTGAGACTGCAGTGCTCTCGTTTTGTGTTTTGGCAGATGGGAGTGAGTTAAAGCTCAGCTGCCAAAGGTGTACGTGATCCTACTCAATAAGTGTTTCTTTGAAGAGGATGGCTAGGAGAGAACAAGATTCCATTGGCAATACTGCACTTCTGTGTAAAGCTTTTAGCAGAGCTAATCCAGAGCTCTGAAACGACCCTCCTTCAAATTAGAGCATGCCACTCTCTCTGTTGTCGTGCTTTCCAGATGTGTGACAATAAACAGGAACTCCCGGCATTGGGATCTGCTGGGTGGGGTTTGTAACAAGTTTGCCTCACTGATAATTTGGGTTGTTCCTCCTTTTGTTTTATGTTCTTGCCGTATTTGAGAGCACCAAATATGCAGCATACTGCAGATGCTTGTGTTGTTTCACCTGTGTGAAGGAATTCGAAGGATCCTTGCTGGATTACTACATCATAGCTTTGATCTTCAGGCTGTGGGAATACTGTTACTAGAAAGCACACAGGATAGGGTCATGTCTCTTTATGAACTCATAAAACATGTCAGGTTGAATTTCAAACCTTTTTTTTAATTTTTGCTTTTATAAGCAATGTATTTCTTCTTGCTTACAATTTTTTTGTCATCTTAGTCAAGTTTGGAACACAGTTAGAAGAACAACTCAGTTTTGGATTGCCTGACAAATGAAGTGAATTGTTTTCTATTTCACAAATAATAAAAAATTAGCAGAAACTTTTTCCTCATTTTCAAAGTATATGCTATGTATGGAGCTATTCTTATGCTTGAGGACCAGTATAAAAGGAACATCCCTCTATAAAGAAAAAACAATAGGTTATATTTAAAAACTGCAAATTAAAATAATGTGATAATCTCAGGGTTTTATCTCTGAGGCAGAACTATTTGTTTATTTTTTGGTTGGCTTAAGTCTCAGTTCTTAGGATAAATACAATTCTAAAACAATAAGGAAAAATTAATTTTCTCTTAGCTCTAATTCTGATTGATGTGGTAGCTGAGATTTTATTTCATGTAATTATCTATTTCGTGCTTACCACATAGAAATAGATTTCGTTTATTTAACTTTCTCTTTCTGTCTTCATTCTGTATTTCCCGTCAGACAGTTTTGGAAGTGTATTTAGTCTGTATTTACTCTTCCCCAGATGATGAACAGGCAGTACGAGAGAGACAGAGAATCAAGCAGGAAAGGAAATGCCTCTGGCGTACCATAAAGGTCACTGTAACAATCTCATAATCTCATTTCCTCTTTAAAGTTTACCTGGGAGTCCCAAACTTTTTTTTTTTGCTTTAGCCCTGCCACTGTGTAAAAAAGGAATTCAAGCCACGTGTTGCAATTCTGTGGTATTGCGGTGAAACGGAGCATCCCTTTCCTTTCAGAGTTCACAAGTATTTATAAGAGAGCCAGCACTTCGCTTCCTTCAGATCACAAAACCAACCTGCCTGGCAACTTCAGCATCACAGGAAAAGGTGAGAATTCCTTTCTTCTCTAACACTGGGGCAATACAACTCTGACAGCAGCTGCTTCAGATGAAACTAATGAAAATTTTAAATTATTTCTTTAAAAGGATATTTAAATAATTGTCATAACATTTTTCTCAGGACAGTATATGCTTATGTGTCTGAAGTTAAGCATATATTGTATATTTGTACATAGCTCATAGATTTGTTTAATCTATCAGAATAGCTAATGTTATAAGGTAACAATCTTTTGTATCTTACTAATATTAATGTTTCTGGGGTGTGTGCATCAACAAATAAGTATTTATGGTCAGGCCGTTCCCTGCTTTAAGAAAAATGCAACACCATTGACTTGGCCCTGCCTTGAGCTCAGGCTGGTCCAGATGATGTCCACAAGTCCTTTCTGACACAGATTATTTTGTGATTCTCAGTGAAGGTATCTGTGCTGATTTACAGCAGCTCATGGTCCAGAGCACAGGGAACACATGATGTTGGTATACTGTCCTCACCTATGAAGTTATCGGGCAATTGCACTGATTAGTGATGGTCAGAAACGGAGTTTATTTCTTATTGTTTTTTTTGATAAAATTTTGAGATAGAGGGAGGTGGTGGTGTTCACCCCCCCCATCTCAAAAATGGAATAATTTTCCATGGAAATTGTTACTTTTTTCATCAAAAACATGAATCATGAAGCTTCTCCCTAAAACCAGGAAAAACTTATCTGTCTTCAGGGTTTCAATTTTGATGAAAGGTTGACACAGAAAAGAAGGCAAGTTTTATACCCTTCTCCTCCAAGTTCTAGTTGGTATTTCAGATATTGGTTTTATGAAGCATAGCGATGAATGCCATGTTACAAGGAAAGAAATTAGCATCACTCAGAAAGTTGCAAAATGTGTTTTTCTTTTGCAAATTATGGATAACCCTACCTGCAGTAGAAAACAATCAGAAGCTAAGAATGTTTGCCTTTTAATGAAGCAATATACTGCTGGTAGGCTGCCTGATAGTACCTGGCTTTCTACTGAGGCTCCTGCCTCTCTCCGAGTACAGACGCAATGTGAGCTGGTTCCTCTCCTAGATACTCGCCTTTCACTGAAAAAGGCTTGTCTGGGAGAAAAAAAGTCCAAACCACTGAATTTTGTGTTTTTCATGTGCATTCAGACTCCCATTGTAGTCAGAATAGACTTTGAAAGACACTTTCACCAGTCTCTTTTTCTAAGTCATACTCCTGTTCATTTGGCTTAATCTCCAGTTGAAAAAGTTCTGCAAGTACATCTCAATGGCTGTCATGTATGTTTTTTATGCACCTGGTGGTTACTACAATATTTGGCAAATATGTTTTGTGTTTCATAAAGAGCTCTAGCTCCATTTTGAATTCAGGACAAATATACATTTTTATGTTGTATATATATCTATATATTTATATATTCTCAAGTGAGATATATGTGTATGTCTCAAATGAGCATAACAACAATTATATACTTATCCAGCCATTGCTATAAATACAGCTGTGGCTGTGGCACTGAATCCAGTGGAAATGTTGCCTGAAATTGCTTGCAAAATTAGTTAGACTATGCACCCTCAGGTGGATAGTGGAACTAGTAGCAGTGAGGCAAGCGTCAGTGCTGATGCCAGCTCTACACTGCGTTATTGACACTGATGTCACTTTTCTCACAGTCCAGCAGGTATCCTTCATTTTATTCACAGTCCTTTGTTTCAGGAGGACTACTGACATGCTTAAACCAAGGAATATACATATAAGCTTTGTATGACTGGAATTTAATGTCCATTGGTCCTTTAGTCCAATGTCTCGTCCATGCAATGAGTCTCACTGGCATGAGCAGGACTCTGCTCGCATGAGGAGTATTTAACTGAGCTCCTGACTGTATAAAACCCATGCAAACGATTTCCTCTGAGTTCCATGATTCTTCTCTAAACTTGTCTGCAGTATGAATAACAAGTGGATCAAAATCTTGGCTTGAGCTCCAGTATAAACATGATACTCAATTTTTATGCTGTCTTAGGATGGGAGAATGTTTCTTAATTCACTGGAACTCGATCTCAGTGCACACGCAACAATCCTCAATGAAGTTTAGTAATTTATTTTTTTCCCTAC